ACAAAAACGATTATGCAATTGATGAAATACGTAGTGTTATAATGGAAGTAAAACAAAGGTACAAAACGCCACACTCCTGTTTCGCTGCTACTCTGAGCTTCCCTTCAGTCGGACAGCAACCCATGAACGACAAGAACAAAAGTGGCACGGAAAACTTTGAAGAAAGCCTCGATCTTGTGTATCAATCATTGAATCCATGCATCTGCAATTAGGTGGCTTAAGTGAAATCGTGGGACAAAGAAGATATGTGATATTGAAGAAGAAACATCAGACGACATTGGACCCCGCTCAAAACGATTTCTGAGTGAAATCACTTCCTACTTCCAAAAATAGTTGAAAAATTACATGATGAATTCTGATCATCTTGTGGTGCTCCTGGGATAAGGAACTGAACGTCGACTTTTATTCATTGCCTTGTAGGTCATGCAGCAGCTCCGGTTTTTCAAATGTTATAGACATTTCCGCTGCATCAGCAAAAGTGGCGTCGATGGTAGAGAGCCGTGGGCCATCGATTATACCCTTCGCTGCTGAAAAGTTGTCCTCTGCAGTGCGTTGCGTACGTTGCGGCATTTTGTCTGCGCTAAATTTGACGGTAGAGGGGACGCTAAAATTTTGCAGCCCTGAGGCTGCAAGAGATGAAGATTCAGAACGTCCAGTTTATCTGCGACTCTTACCTTGTTGCTTGATATTTATTTTTTTTATTCACATTTTCGAAAATTTTTCACATTTTCGAAAATTTCGATTTTTAATTGTTTTAATTTAATTTAAATTAATTTAATTTAATTTTTACTTGCTTCTGTATTCTACTTTTTACTTTCGCCTTTTACTTATCAACAGCGTGCTCGAGAAAAATAGCACGCACTTCGCCGCGCGATTCCTTACAGCTGACAACAACACTAATGCTAGGTGTCATCTTGGTCTGTGTCATTAGAATGCCTGCTACAGTCCGGCAATATGCATTTCTAGATTTATCTAGCGAAGTTTTGAGGTTAACATAGTGCAACCACCTGCTACGCCTGACGAAATCACGTTGTAAGCCTTCACCACCCCGTGAGAGAAAGTTCTACCATAAAATCTATCTTTCATCTTTGTCTCTTAGCACCCAGGCGTAGCTTCCGGGTCTCGCCACAGATCAGATCGCGCGTACTGGAACCAAATTCGTAATCGCTTTGTTCCGTTTTCAGCAAGCGTCGATTAGAATAACTGGTTTGCCTGTTTTGCGTTATTTTTGATAGTTTTTCCCGCCATTCCATACTTTAGGAGAGTAACGTGCCCATGGATATTTAGAAGTATTGCCGCACAATAGAACTAAGCTGATGTGCCTTGCAAAGCCTAGTAGTCCATCACATTGAGCACAAACAAGGGTTTGTAACAGGGTTCTATCTGCTCGAATACACAAGCTAAAGAATTTCGCTTTGGTTCCCATCAAACCAACAAAATCCGAAGACCGTGTGATCATCGTAGCGAGTTTCTCCAGTTTGTTCAGAATTGGTTCGGTTCCAAAATATTTTCCGTTGATAATTTATCCTTTGTTGATCGGTATGTCAAAAAGGCGGCCAAAATTTCTCGCGGAATTTTTATTGTCCCAGAAAACGTTGGACAAGGTATAACTGAGCCAAATTAAAGTCACGTACATTTGGCGACTGCAACAAAGGTCCTAGTTTTATATTTCCCTGCAATGGGACTACAAAACTCGGAGGAGATAAACCATGAGACAGAAAAGTATTACAGCTTACGCTCCTGTTGTTGGATGTTTAAAGCGCATATTGGGTGCTTTTGTAAGTGACGGTTATAATCACAACTCTATTCATATCTTCATTAAGCACATTCATTTTGTGTCATTCCGTACCTATAGGGTAGATTCATAACCCTAGAGACCCAGTACTTACCTAGTCCACGATGACTATCGTAGCATCAGCCTAGGTCTCACGAGTCAGTTCATTCGGCCAGATGTGGACGCTACAGGCATTTGCAAACACACTCCTTAGTATCAGCTCTCCCATCTTTGTCTCATCCACGTTTGAGCGACACTCGTATTCGGAATATAAGGGGGGATCCTACGGGCTGGTTTCACTAGTTCAAGCATTGGTACATAGAGTGTCGGCGTATTCCACGTATTGTGTCCAAAGTATTTGAGTGCTGTGTTGAGCTTTCCTTTTCCGGTGTCATATATGTCCACTTCCATTTGGCGTTACCTTTTGAGTTGCTGTTTTTACAAGCTCCGGAAAGATTAAAGTAGTAATTTGTCCCGGAAAATAACTGTTATTGTAGTGGGGTTTTCTTCACTTCGACTACAACCATATCTCCTGTCAAGACGTGAAAAGCAACTCTGGTAGTGTTTTTTTTCTCACACCAGGAGTACGCACATTTAATTTGCCAAATCCATGTGGGAAAATATTTTGGTGACGCCTCAGGGAAAAAGCGGAGTTGTATGTCATCAATAAGGGCCTTTAATGCAGCACTTGGATAAAGGAAAAACACTTGTGGATGCTCCTGTTTTCTTGTCAACAGTTTCTTGTTCAGATGTCTTCCATCCACTAACAGTTTGCCTACGAACATTTTTGTTTCCAGCTTTTTCTTTTATCCATTATAGCCCGGGATTTTTAAGTGTCGAAATTGATTCTTGGTCCGTTCATGTGTTCTTTGCCACCTAAAGAACAAGACCGTGTCTTCACCCATGGCAAAACTTTGTTCATCGGGGACAAGGGGATGTGTTGGACCAAGCATAATACGCTGAGAACCACTAACTGCAAACGTCATGTCTGGTACCCTTGGTTTCCAAAAATTCACAGGAGGCGTGTCCACATTATTGGACGTTACGGGCCTTTTGCTTAGCGCAGTTTTATACAATAAGCTTGATACTTAGGGTATACAGGAGAGGTATATGGAATGGTTAACCCGGCGTAAGTTCAACTACAACTGCTTCAGGAGAGACACGGGGCTTTCCGGTCTTACTCTTAGTACTCCTAATGGGTACACTTTGGACTTTATACCACAGCCAGAAGATATGAGGAAGCCTTGATCTGCTGGCGTAGATAAGGCCTATTCCCACTAGCTACCGGTATAGCGGATTTTGCTATTATCACCCCCTCAGATGGACCATTTTACTCCTCATCCTCAACCACGACAGACTGGTTGAGGATTTCAGACAGGGCCTTTAATGCCTGTACGTATGCGCTATCAGATGGATACACTTTTAACTATATGACAATGCTCCCACGACCCTTCATGGAGTGACTGTTAAGTATCCTCCAAATTTACGAAAGGTCGCCTGGCATTCGGTTGTATTCAAATAATTACCTATTCAACTGTTTTAAATCAACGAAATCTTGCAACTTCCCGAAGCACACAGCTTCTCAGAGCCCTCACCCCTGAACTAGCACACATTCCTAGCCTCTTACCAGCAAGTAGGTTGATCGTAAGCCCATAGAATATTGGTGAATTTACTAAAGTGTCATGTGATATTCCAGCAGCATAGATTGACCCGGTACTGGCAGGTTTCTTTAAAAATTTAAAATCTGACTCTCCTCCTTGCTCTGGTTCCCCTTTGGTGTATTCTGTATCAACTAGTAACTACTGACTTTTCACGGGTGTGGAAAATCCAACTGATGGCACGAAGATTTACACGATTTACGGGAAGATGACCTCACTGTAACCAATTGTGGAAGGAGCTAAAGGCTATCTGGTGCACTTCTAAATCGCCACTATAAATGTCTACTGCCCAGGGTTTGCAGCCGTCCGGAAACACGAGACTAGAAATTTTCAGACCAACGAGTGTATCATTTATCTATACTCTGAGTAGTTCAGGGCCTGGTACAGATTTACAAAGAAACCGGTTAACCTGGCGTAGTGTCGTTAGCTTTAAAATAAGGCAGGTCTCAGATATGCGCATTTTCTCTTCTCCGCACCCCGAAAACGTTCAGCTACTGAAATAGTCATCATCGTAATACACCATCAAGTGACTTACTAAGGTTACGTATACAACGTTCGTCTGATTCCCTCCAACAAGGATGTTAATCTATCCCTTCTCATCAATAAGTAGGCCGCGAATGTACGACCTGGATTCCTGAAGCCCCACTGTTTAGCCGGCCATACATTTTTCATTTGGGAACAACACTTGGTTTCATCCCTAATGAGCCACTCTATCACTTGGTGGACGTCCGACTGGGATTTTCTGTAATATGTTGCTAGCTACAGAGCTTATTCATTATATGTTGATCTTACTACTACCGTTCTTTTTTCTAGAGCAAGCCGGTCAATGTATGAGGACCTTTTTGGTTAGCCCAAAAGAGAGTAACATCACCATTTGCTTCAAGAAGTGAGGATAAAACTGCTGTGATCTCAGGGAAGTTTGGTGTTATCAGTTGATCTGCTGATGGCGAGTGAACTTTCTCAAAGACCATCTTGCGCACTTCAGTATCACTGATCTGATGTCCGTACCGCACCTGCGCAACGCTTCAGAGTCAGTGGTGGTCAAACACAGATATCCGTTGGAGATCTTTCACACACGGCAGCCATGTCTCGAATCCACAAATTAGGGTAGCTGAAGCCGTTGCATTGCTAATTCTACTTCTGGCATCAAACTGATATCAAGTCGGCACCAGAAACGTCAGAGTTTGGCAAAGATTGTTCTGGCCTTCCAACTTCATGAAATTTTTTCGTCTTCAACCAGACCACCGTGATTGATTCAGTGGTCCAGATAGACAAAATCATTTGCCACGTACAGCATCTCACCTGCAAGCATGAGGTTTGGATCTGACCTTACCCAATCTTGCAAGAGCACGTTAGAATTTAAGGGTGCAAACAGCACACCCCCCGTAGAAATACTAAACCAAGGACATTCTGCGTTCGCTATGGCTGCACTGGTATCAGCGGCCTGGCCTGATGGAAAAGGCTAAACAACAACGCTGTTTCCAAATGAAGAATTACGGATTCTGTATACACAGTTTTTCTGTTTTTTTTTTAGCAATAGCTGTGACACTCTTGTGTACCGTCGTTGTCTCTTAATAAAAGTACGGCTAATGTGTTACTAATAGTTTGAAAATACAGAGAAAGGTCTAAAGTTTCATTCATTTCCCTTCTGTTCTTTCGAAATATTTAGCATCATTTTGAACTTGCGTTGGATCCGAGCATGTTCTGCATGGGTCAGGTCTTTGTGTGAAAGCTCTGAAATCTAGCGAGGCGTCCAACAACTACATTTACTCATAAGGTTGTTGAAATTTCGTCGACAGCCCACGATCGGTTTCACCCTTCCTGGGGCGCATCAAGTAGACGCAGTCCCCAAGTTTCCTTCAACCTTATGTTCTACTTGAAACCAAATTGCATGAAATTAGAGAAATACACTCATTTGCAAACAAAAGTGGTTTTGTGAGAGACTCACCTGGAACCCAGCTGAATCACTCGTTTGTGATGTTTACAGGCAACTTAATGTGCTGCACCGTCTCATGTTTCGGTTGCTACGATATTCGAGGTATCGCGACACATGAAAACATCACAAACGGGAGATTCAGCTGGGTTCGGATGAGTCTCTCACATGACCAAATTTGTTTGAAAATGGGTATATGTCGCTAACAATTGCCTTTGTTTATCCATATTGTTACAAGATATTCCCAGATCCCACTAAAAGGCCCCAACCACCATTCACGGGGTTAGCAGAAACAAAACCGGTCCTCACCTTATGCCCCGGGCTCTTTGAATCACAAACTGCACGGCCGCTATTATATTTATGTACTGAGGGGGATTTTTTAATATTTCTGAGGGATGAAATCGGAAACAAGTATCTTTAACATAAAAATTGCCCAGGAATAAAAAACCAACAGAAAAAACTGTACTATATCAATATATGTAATGCAATACTCAAAAGGTTGCTGAAAATTGTTTTTCAGGTAGAACATAAGGTTGACGCAAACTCGGGGACTACATCTACCTGTTGAGCCCCAAGAAGAGTTGGACAAGTCGTGAGCTTCTAAAACAGTTTTCAGCAACCTCACAGTTAGGGTATGGCACCCAGGATTAGGTGGACTTTAACCATGATCTGTGGTCTCGTTACATTGGTAATGAGACAGATACTCCGATGAGATTCTTACAACCCTCTGTTTTGGTCTGATCGGATTTTGTTTTCATTTATCCGAATTGGAACTCATGTTGCTGGAAATCACTGTAAAATTCGCGTTTACTAGGAACCTGACGAGGGTTTCTTGTGTATCCAATATGACTGTGACAAAGTTTCAATGAATACGTCATGGCAGCATGAAGTAGGCATGAAACATTGTTTTCGTCTTTTTATAGCTCTGTGCTTGCCGGATTCGGTGAAAGATAACCAAGCAGCCAGGTCAAACAGACGTTCGAGTAATTTTGTTTCAAATGGTGATAGTAATAAAAACTCTTTCAGTATCGCCGTTATATTCTCACTCATCCCGCACGAGCACTATAATGGCACCGAAACTTGGTTACTGGAAAATGCGTGGGGTAGTTTGCCTTTTCCCTTCCACCATTTGTAAAATAAGGTTGCACAACCCATACGACTGTTGCTCGAGTACAACGGCGTCGAATTTGATGATTTCAAATATGTGTGTGGACCCGCACCGGACTTTTGCAAAAAGTCATGGCTTGATGAAAAATTCAACCTGGGTTTGGACTTTCCAAATGTGAGTTTTCACTTTATTGTTACATATTGTTCAAACCAGTTACCTTACTATATAGATGGTGATTTCAGTCTCACCCAGTCCGATACAATTTTACGCTATATCGCGGAATCCAACGGGATGGGTAAGTTTAGTTTCATGTTCCCACTGCGTGTACTTTTGTGTGGATATGGTCACCATTATTCTATCTCTTTTTGGGTGCGAGACATGGCCTCTGCGGACAAATGATGTGAGGCGTCTTCAGGTTTTCGAC